CCTATAACTTTTCAATACATTAAGATAAAAATTAGAATAATAATGTAACAGTATACATTTCAATTTGCATGTAACGTTTGACTCTTCACATCTATTTCAAGTTGGATTTCTTATTATGTCCATCGCTATCCTATTATTTTACCTTTCTTTACTCATGTCGTTGGGGGGTTCATAGGAATCTCTGTACACGTGGATATATACACTTTCTTTGTAATCAAATCGGCTGTTCCCATACTCCATCCAGTAATGGGCGTCACAACTAAAAATCGCCTAAATATTCTATTCGGTATGAACAACACTTATAAACTCCCGACCTCTCCGGTATGGGACTTTTCAGGCTCGTACGACTAAGGGTAACGTCCACGGTAGGATTCACTCTATGTATCAAGTTCGTACACTCTTTCCTATAACACCCGATAAGCCATTTCATTCAAAAACATTAATTTATGCCTACCTTTTCTTCTAAGCAACCCATACCTTGCAAATTAACAGGACAAGATTCATGCTTAGAAATTGGTAAAGAAATAAATCGTTAATTAAGAGTAAATTAAAACATCATAGGAGGATAAAACACGCACGACGCAATAACCATAATGAATAAAACCAATTCAAGCGAAATGTAAATAAGCACATAAAATCAGATAAAAATATGACAAAAATGGCATATAGGCAACACAATAACGAGAGACGAACATAAACTGACCGGTTACTAACTTCATCGAACAATCTGTATTTAATTAATCAAGGGGTCGCCAAATTATTTATAATTTTTTATTTATTATTAATTTATCTTTAATTTAACCGTAATAGGAGAAATAGTGAGAGATTCTTACACTGGATCAGTGTCAGGGCACCACCTTTTTCATTACGGTTCTCGATGGCCCTCGGTTATTAGATTTCTTGGGTTTCCTGGTCAGATTGAAAACCTACATCAAAACGACATGAAAATATGCAAGAAATGGCAAAAAAAAGGGAGGCATCTCAACACGAGTCAAGTTAGGGTTCCGACGCGACGGTGCTGCTCGTGCGCCCTCGCTTGGTCCTCTTTCTTCGACATTTCTTCCTCTCAGTCAAACCAATTTTGGCCAATTCCTAGTGAAAATTTATTTAAATCGTGGTTAGGGGGTGTTTTTCGGTGAAAAGAGGGGAAAAATAGGGTCGTACCAGTGATTTTGGGCCTCTAGTGCGGCGGCTCAGCTGAGCTTCGTCATTTCTCCCTCGCGGTTTGCGGCTTTTCCTAGTCACCCTGCATTGGAAACGTGTTAGGCGGCTAAGGGCGGAGAAACAAGAAGAACATGAAGGAAATTCAGCTTACCAGAGTGTTTTTGGTGTTCCGGCATGGTGGCGTTGGTGTTCCTCCTCCGACTGAGTCCCCTTTTGGTAGCCCTTCTTCTTCTTCTCCGGTGTCCTCATATCGGCTAGGGTTTTGGAGCGACTGAAGAGAGGTTTAAATACTTCCCCCTAATTTTGGCAGTTCGTTTGGGTCGACGTGAAGCGCTAGGAGCCATTTGATCTCACTTATTTGGAAAACGAACATGAATTGTTCGATTGAAGACATGCGGACAGTTTGATCAGTCTTATTCGAAGAATTGATCTGGGTTGTTTGTGCGGGCCGGAGTAGCCCCAAGTCGTTTGATCGACTTGACACACGGATTGCCAGCGTGGCTCCCACGTGGAGCCCTTCTCGGCTTGTCCGGCATGCGATATGCGGCGATTCATCGTGCTATTGACTGGGTGTCCACATGGTTCGTTTTTTTTTTTTGCGATTTGACCCCTACTTTCAAATTTCTTTTTCAAATATACCCTACCTTATTTACAGTTTGACTATATCTTTTGAATTTCATTTTAAAAAACACTCAAAATGTATATTTTTCAAATAAAAACAATTGAAATCAAGAACTTATATATATTTTATCATTTAAAAAAAATTAAGATTCCCATTTTGAGCCTAATTTTTGGACTCGAGATATTACATGAATTCTTTACATCATTTATTCAAGATTATCTAGGTTAATAATACTATTTTCTTTGAATTTTATTGTATTATATATTAGATTATATTATAGTAAGTTTTTATTTTCTTTTATTTCAAATTTTTAGTTCGAAATCAATTGAGTCTAAACTATTAAATTATGGTTGGTATATAAATGGAATATACTCAAATATAACATGTAACACCCGGGCCAGAAAATTTGGCCCGGGATGATTTTTCTATTTATAATATATATAAATAATTAAAAATTTTAATTTAATTTAATTTTATTTAAATTATCGAGAAAAAATAAAATATGGACGAAATTGAAAATAATTTTGAGAAAAATGAGTGAAATTTTGAGTAAGGGGAGTGTTTTTGAAAGAAAACTTAAAAACAAATGGTAAATCACAAGAAGAAAAAATTTAGCTACGTGGGATGATCCAGTCAGCAGCCAGGGAAAATCAGAGCATGCCACGTGGCAAAATACGTTGACATCGGCGCCACGCGAGAAGTCACGCAGGTGATCCGATGGTTCAGATCACGTCCCGTACGCACGGACGACTGAGATAAGTTTCTCCTTCAGATGCGATCAAACAGTCAGATTTAATTCAATCGTGCGGTCCATATTTATTTTTCAAATAAGAGGGATCCAACGAACGGGAGAGTACCACATGTCACCGTACGGACGACCCAGATCGACATAGAGATGGTATTTGAGCATCACGTTCGAGGGAACCCTAACCCTAATCGCACCAGCCCTCGCCAGAGAAGAAGAAAAATGACGGCCAGAAAAGAAACTGACTATCATCACTACCGACGCCAAAACATGTACTTTTTACTCCTTCCCACTTGGAATTCAATCTCGAGCCTCCCTGTGGCCATATCAGAGCCAAAGGATCGACAGGTGAACCGAAAACTGCGGGTAAAGTTCGGCCGAGCCGCTACGGTCAAAATCCAAAATCCTCTACGATGATTTCCTTTCCGTTTCCCGTTTCACTTGATTTTTTAACCATTAGGTTAGCAGTCTTTTTTCTGGTTAGTCGAAGAAGAACCCCAGCCGCGAAGGAGAACTGGTGGAACCGCCGCACATGGAGACTTCCCCACCGGCAAGTTTTATTTTTTTTTTATCTTTTTCGGCCAACCGAGGCTTCTT